TAAGTCATATGACTTAGATCATATGTATGACCTTTCTGAACCACCGGAAGTCTTTGAAGTTTGGTTCTTACAAGCTGAGAACAGCTGCCTTGGGCTGTCAGAGTTTGTGGAGCAGGGACTTCGCCATAGCTGTGGCAGAATCTGTATCCTGCTGCAGCGAGTTGAGGAATGCATTCCAAACAGCATTTAGGTGAGCTTCCAGCTGTTGAAAAACAGGAAGTACAGGACTTTACAGTGTAGTATAATGCCACCTTCCTTCCCTCCTGCATCACTCCCCTAGAACAAAAAGGCCTTTCATCCTTTTTAGAATTTGTAGTAATTCTTTTCAAGGTTAAAATACTCTTTTACTGTAGAAACTGGCTTTTACTGATGGATGATTACATGTGTGCTCCTAACACTTTCAGTAACTCCTTGAATCTTTCTTGTTTTCTTGGGAAGCAAAAAAAGTGTTTGCATCTATGCTGTGTTTTTATGTTGGACACTCCAGAGAAACAAAACAGTCTTAATTTGCCTCAGCAGAAACATTGTGATACTAAAATATATTTCATATGTGAAAGCACATTTTACATGGTATGCATCTATACTGAGAATATACAGTGGTGTGAGGTAACATTTATTAGTAGGAACTTGGTATTGGTTGATTATCACAAGTGCTGAACTCAGGAAAGAGATCTGTAAGTTATCTTAAATAAATATTTGCAAAACACAATATTTTATCATGTATTTTACAGAATATTTCAGAAATATGTAGGAATATTTTAAAGTTTTGGGGTTTTTTTTAGATATCAAAAATGAAAAATATGGGAGTGGGGAGTATATTTAGTATTGGGGTGAAATCACTAGACCATTAAGCCTGTTCTGTAATCTGTATAAAAAGGGCTTAGGAGGAAGTGCCATAAGAAATTAAGAACAGAAGCCCTAGGTACCTAGCCCTGACTTTTATGCCACTGACTTTTGAAATTCCAGTATTTTGAAATGTCATTATTTATGCGTGTCGAATAAGGGTCCTTGCTTCCAAACTGAATCTTTTCTCTTTTGGATGCCAGTTTTACCAAACTGAGATGCTGGCCAGAGGAAGAAATGTTTGACTTTTGGATTCATAAATAAATAAATGAGGGGGCTACTCTAGGTTTTGATGTGTAAGTTGTGGGGAGGCATAATAACAATTCAGAGAACTTGGGTTAAGCAGCCAGATTTATTCAGTAGTGTATTACGTGTCTGCATTTGGTGATATTGAAGATGCAGCCATGTAATTTCCGATTAGCATTGTTAAGTATTAAAAACTGCACACAATTAAATTGAAGATACTGTATTAGCATTACCTTTTTTAGTGTACAGTGATATTAGAAGTATGTTTCTGTAGACTTAAATATCAGGATTCAATAAAAGGTTTATAACTGTACCTGAAAAATGTTTAAAGGACTGTATGCTCTATGTTTAATACTACTTTTGTGGTGGTTGACATACTACTGTTACGATAATGATTCTAAATATGTTCAGTAACTGGATATTACTATAGTATTAGCACTTAACCTCGATATTTATAGTACTTTTCTATGGACCGTCTCTGCCTGATGTCTTTATGTCCCAATAACATCACAACACCCTCAGGACAAGCTTACTACTAGGAGCACTTGTACTTTTCCCCACGTCAAAATCACACAAAACTCTGTTGGTATCATTCTTCATTGATACCCAGCTTCTTCCCCCCTCCATTTCCTTTGTGTTTTCTGTTCTTCTGTACTGTTGCATTCCGTTCTTTGTATCTTCTGCTTTTAGTCAGCGTGTAGTTCTTAACTGTTAAGTTTTCTCTGTGCTGTTGACTTTTAATTCCTTGAAATACTGTTCACTGAAGGGGATTGATAGAGGACTTCATAGACTAAGTGAAACTTTATGGTTAAATGGCTTAGAAACAGATCCTGGTAGTAATGCTGGGAGTTTACAGTTAGATTTGTGGAGGTACTGTTTATATTGACTTTCATGTAAACTCTGAAGAGGACTAGTATCCTGTTGAAGACAGTATCACTGTATGTGCCGTGGCTTTAGTAGTATTCTCTGATGCTTTTTGGGGATGACTTGAAATCATTGTTCATGCCCACAGGTAAGACATTCTTTGTGTTGCAGCCTCCCTTTTTTGCATCTTCCCTTTGGAACAGAAACAGGAGAGGAGTCAGAAGTGACAGTATTAGTTTAGTATCTGATAGTATTTAGAGTTGTAGTATCTTCTGGGGAGTATTTGTATGTGTGACAAAACCCATCTGTGTTAGCCTGTGAAGGCAGCAGCTAAATCCTGTGCTGCATCCAGCGTATCTTGCAAAATGGGGACAATATGTTCTTCTGGGGGGAGGAGGAAAACAAACTTTATCTTTGACCTAATTTTCTGTGAGCTGAAAATAAACGTCAATGGGACTATAAAGATAAGGCCAGAAGGGCTACAGTCCTGTATATCAAGACTAAAGCTGTCATAGGTGAACATTTTGTAAGATTGTCTTTTAATATTGCCCTATTTCAGTATCTGAGGAACAGGAAACAGTTTGGCATGTTGTCCACCTGACAGTAGATATTTCTGATAATCTGTACTTTTAGTAAGATCAATAAATACTATTATTATAGACATGTGCAGTTAACCTTATTTTCTAAATCTTTTGAACCCATATTTGTTTACCAATATAAAATCTTAGAGATTAACAAAAATTGTATTGCTTAAACTACTAAGGAAACAAAGTTTTTTAAAGTATGTTTGGATTAGTAGTTCTTGATTGCTTTGGTCTTTGCACTTGTAGAAAACAGCTGCTTTGAGTGGGCTCTGTCTAGTTTCTGTGTTTTTTACACTGCAATGAACAGCTAAGTTTCCAACAAATCTTGAATGTCACTCATTTGACAAATATTGCTACTCTGAAATAAATTGCATTGATGTAGAAATATTGTGTATTTGAACTTTAATGGCCTGCAAATTAACATTTGTCACTTGCTGTACAGATGGTTCTGACTCCAGAGATAAGCCAAAGCTCTATCGTCTACAATTAAGTGTCACTGAAGTTGGAACCGAAAAATTTGATGAGAATTCCATTCAGGTATGGAAAAAAAGCAGACTCAGATGACAGAACTGATCCAGTCTCTGGTCAGTTATGTGCCATTGTGGAAACTAGTAAAATATTCTGTGAATACCGTTCAAAGCTAGAAGGGTAAAATACTGCTGCAATTTCATGTTAATGGTCTTAACTCTGTTTTATTTCCTGTCACTTGCTTTAAGAGGAAAGTAAGGGTTTCATTATTTAAAGTGGGGTATTCTTTTTCGTCACTGGATCAAATGGTACATATTGTTATTATTGTAGCTGCTTAATGGCTTTCAAGTCCTAGTCTCAACCCCTTTGAGTGAGGTAGGATTTCTTAAATGTATAAAACAAGCATAGATGTATGAAGTTCTTGCCGGGGAGTCTCATAGCACCCTGGGTCCATGTCAGTGCAGTTAGCTGGCTTGTAAATACTTGCCCTGTGAGATTTCGCACCAAAAGAGCAAGTGGAAGAAAACAGTTTTGAACAGCATATGACCAAAAAAGTGAAAAACTTTTCACTAAGTGATTTCTGCTGCACATATTAGTTAAATGAGTGTTTTATTATCTCTGTTGCAAGGAGAATTGAAGTGAAACCTAACGGACTTTAGTACCGCTCATGTCTGTTAAATCCATAAGCAAGCAAAGTTAAGTTACTAGTCTGTAAATAGGGTAAGCTGGAACTCGATCTTTTTGTTTTAATTTCTGCTGCTGTAAAATTTAGTTTATTCCATGTTAATTAATTCTATTTTCAGTTATTTGGTCCAGGAATTCAGCCTCATCATTGTGACCTTAATAATATGGATGGAGTTGTTACTGTAACCCCAAGAAGCATTGATGCTGAAACGTACGTGGAAGGTCAGCGTATTTCAGAAACCACTATGCTGCAAAGTGGAATGAAGGTTCAGTTTGGGTCATCTCATGTATTTAAGTTTGTGGATCCCACTCAGGACCATATTATTCCTAAAAGACCTATTGATGCAAGTCTTATGGTCAAAGGTCCAAGACACAAAACTGGGTGAGTAAAATTTATTTTCTTTCTGCTCAGGTGAAGCAGGGAGCCTTGGAAAAAATAGGGAATGAGAGCATTATAAATGCCTGTGACTAGAGTGTGGTTTTAAAGGAGTTCTGAGTATCTGCTTTTAAGTGTTAAATATATAGTAACTATTTTAATACTTGAGCTCCACCTTGTGATTTTTTATAGGATTAGCAAGTGTCTTTTTCATTATGAAATATTCAGAAAAGTTTTTTTCTGATGCTCACTTCTGTGTTAAAAACAGTGGAATGCCTTATTGTAGTGTATTTCAAAGTTCTTCCAACCTCCAGGAAAAGTAAAGAATTTGCTGAATGTTTTCAGAGAGCCTGTTTTTTGTCGTTTTGTTGTTTGAGGTTTTTTTCCTCAGGTAGTAACTTTTAAAATTCCACTAGAAGGATTTGGATATTAAGTAGGGTAGTCACGAAATGAGACTGTCAAGATAGGGAACTCTAAATGTCTCAATATAGCAAGCACTTTTTACAGTGTGATTACTTATCTTCTAGTTTTTGGGTTGCAAGGACTAACAGTACAGAAGTCCATCGTGTTGTTTCTCTGTGTGGTCATATTTTTGATAGGTGCATAATAAAAAATTCTGCTTCTAGATTTAGTGACTTGTAGGGGCTCAGATATTCTGTTCAGTGGCTGTAGAATATTCGGGAGAAATAATCTTAAAATCAGACTGTATAGCATGGAAGAAAATAACATATCTTCCATCTTCTCTGGGTCCAAATGAGGCTACTGCTGTGGTTTAGAAAAGAAACAAATTGGCTTAGAGGTGAACAAGAGAAAGATACCTAGGAAAAGAGGCTCTTCTGGCTGATGCACTGAGTTAACAGAGATGCATACTTTAATCGTTATTATTTTTTTCTCCACTTTATTTTAATGTGGAAATACCCAGTGTGCTGCTTGTGGGACCTGTCTGCAGGAAGACCTCCAGCCATTTAGCTGTCATGTAATATTTCTGCTTAAGTCTTGAGTTCGTTGTACATCTAGCCTGCAGATCAATAAACAAATGCTCTCAAACGTTTACATGGTAAACTGTGAAGCACTGTACTACTGCAGAGCTTTATCTGGACAGCAAAATCTCTGGCAAAGGGCTGTTGCAGCTTGAACAATCAAATATTTTTTAAGTCTTTAGAATAAGCAGATAATAAAATGCATTGCTATGAGTTATGAATTATTTACATTATCAAGATTGTTGTACATTTAGTACTGAAAAACTGAGCAAAAATTTCTAGCAAGTCTACTGCAGTGAATACAAGAACTTGAACATGTTGTCCTGTGATTTTATATTATTTATGTTTATGTGTATTTATATTTTTCTCACTTAACTAGTAAAAAAAATGTAACTAAGAATCTGTTTTCCAAATTAAATTATCTGTATAAATATTTTCAGTGTTTTTATATAAGGAATTGATACAATGTTTTAGAAAGTGAATATTAACTGGACTCATGGTATACCTCTTGAACTTTAATTTACTACTTTTAGTTGGTCTGTTCCTTGTTTGTTAGATGTTCAACAATAGAATTTCTAAAAAGTACTTGAAATGTTATTTTGCTTTTAGAGCTGTTCAGGAAACCACATTTGATCTGGAGGGAGATGTTCACAGTGGAACGGCATTACCAGCAAGCAAGGTATTATAGTATGACTAAATTATAAATAAATAATAAAAGTTCATGTGCAAGTTAGGTCAAAATCATAAAACAGCAGTAGTATTTGGTAAGGTGCGACCAGTTCATCATTCTCCCCCACAGTTACCTGTTGTGAGTGGGCTTGGGTATCATAGTTCTGTTTAAGTTTGTATTAGCATTTCGCATGCATTCCGTGCCAAGAATAGTAAAAAGGGAATTCCTCAAGCCTGGAATAGTTTCTCCCCAAGCTGACCTATTGAAGGCAGATTGCATGTAGGTAGGGATTCATATTAGAAACGGTACATCATTATCTCGTGTACATAGCATATGACTATTGTTATCTGTGATAGTGTAAATAAATGGTTTATATCAAATGTGAAAGGACGTTCAATTTTAGTTTAACTAGGCTTTTAAAATTTAATGGATGTGAGTTTTGACTTCAATAGAAGTTCTGTACGCACACTGACTAAACAAACTCTCCCTGCAGTCATAATTATAAACGTTTTATGAGGTGGTAATCTCTTCTTGATTTCTTTCTTCACTGTCTTTCTGTTAAATTCTGTGCTAGAGTTGCATTTTCCAAGAGCAAACAAATAAAATGACACGATGGTGAATGCCTTTCTTGGTGCTATGATCACATGCCTCAGATGAAATGAAAGAATGAATTATTTCAGCGATATGAAATGTTGTAGTTCTCCCACAAATGCATTTCCTTCTATGTTTTGGTGCTACTGTTATCAAATAGAAATACTTGTAAGGAAATTTAGTAATATTCGTGTCACAGGGTAGGTATTAATAATACTCTCACAGCTTTTGAATGTGTTCGTTAGTCTTAAAAATTTTTTCTTGCCACAGACTTCTGATTCAGTTTTTCTCCTTTGTAGCTTTGTTCATGACAATGCTTGCTTTTATCTTGGATGCATTCTTTATATATGATTGGAATTTGTTTAGTGACGTTTTGGGAGGAGAAAAAGTTTGTAAACTATTAAAATGCTCGAAATGTCTCAGAATTGGAGTTTCTGGCATTATTACATAGCATACCTCATATGCTTTTCAGACTTAATAGAAAAATACTGTAGTGGACCTGGGGAAGCTTGGGAAAATTCAGCTGGGTGTTTGGTTTTTTTTTTTTTGTTTTGTTTTGTGGGTTTTTTTTTTTGATTTGTACTGTTTGGGAATGTGCATGACATCTTGTTAAATCACTTGTTTTCTAACAGTTGCTCTTATGAGTTTGCTTTTCTATTTAGAAAAGGGGTAACAATAACTTCAATGAAAGTTCTCTGAGACCTGGTGATGAAAAGTGATTCATGGATTGGCATGTCAGTACTTGCATTTTGGGATGCACTTTTTGTTAGGTTTTCTTGTGTCAGAGCAAATAATCTAGTTCTAGAAATTTCTTACGACATTTCGTATTTTACTGATGGTTTATTTTCAACTATTTATACTGAAAAATAATTGCTACATATTTTGCTGCTTAAAGCAGCATGTTTTTCCCCTTCCTGGTAGAGTTTGATGGAATTGGAAATCGTAAATTAAAAGCTTCCTATTGAGGAGCTTGTGACACTGAAAGAAAACAGACTGAATTGTACATAAAAAAATGGGATAGTTTGAATTGCCTCTTCTAGTCTTGTAAAATTAAGTACTGTCCAGCGGATCAGACTTGCCTTAAGAACAGGATAAATCATCGCATGACTCCATAATGTCAGCACTTGGAGCTATTGCAGAAGCAGGGTAGGGGAGCATAGCTAGTTTTAAATCTGTTAATATGTTTAACTTTGTCTCTTAGCTAAAGTCATTAACAATTCATTCTTACTTTGAATTGGTAACTATGCAACTTCTAAATAAAGACTTTTGAAATCTTCATTATATGTTCAAATGTTAATAAATAGTTGTTCCTAGCTGGCCATTGTTGTCCTATGAATTGCAAGTGTGCTCTTCGATGCTTCCTTGCGGTGAAAACACCTCCTGAGCTGCTGGATTCTGTGCTGTACTCTTCTGTTTTCCCATCTCTTGTCAAGCCTCAAATTGACACTTAATAGTGCCAAGCACAATTTTAAGAGTGCCAAGCCCAAATACTGGCTAATCCAATGTTTGCATGCTAAGCATCTGTCCCTCTGTTTTGGATTAGAGCACCAGCAGGCTTGATGGTGACAGGACATCGTCAGCATCCAGCACAGCCGAACGAGGAATGGTGAAGCCGATGATTAGAATTGAGCAGCAGCAAGATTATCGCAGACAGGAAAGCAGGTAGGAAATGTGTAATCTGTAACTTCTCATAATGGAACAAACTGGATACATTTTTCTGATAGATCAAGCAGTATGTTGAAATATTTTAAACTACCAGATTTTCCCTGTGGAAAATGAGATTTCTCACTCTAAATAAATCCCAGGATTAACAACTAACCAAAAAACTTTAGAATATAAAAAAAGAAATTCCTTTCTTTCAATATTCTGTTATTTGTAGTTCTCTTTTTGTAAAGCCAGGCTGATAGTCATGTCACACCATTGTTGATTCATGGCTAGGCATGTTGTATGAAGTGCCTTTAGTAACAAAAGTACAGTTACCTAAAATTTTCATTTGTCAGTGGCAAGATGATGGGATTTACTCTGGAGAGGGAAATAACCAGATCATTCCTATTTCTACAGTAGTATTGTTGGCAAGTCTTCTGAGCAAGAATTTTAGTTACCTCTGAATGCTTTTCTTGTAAAGTTATGTAATTTGTAAATACATTTAACACCTCTTTCTTGATTTTTGCTTTTATGATACAGTGGCTGTTATTAGGTAGATAAATGCTATACCATTTTGCTCATAGGCCCTTTTTTCAGGTACAGAATGATACTTTTTGTGCCCTGCATATTCAGTTTGTTTCCAAAGCCATAGTGGAAAACACTGACTTCAGTTGTATGCCATTTTCTTGCTATTGAGTCTCCATGTATTCGTAATACCTTGTTCAAGTTCAGCTTGGGCCCATCTAAAAGGACTCAACTCCTTGTCAGACGATGTCTTTTAATATTAGCATTGCTTCAAAAGTTGTTGCTGTTTTCCATCATAAATAGAAAAGATCTGATGGGATGCATCCAAAGATGCTGGGAGTTGGCTGACATCATTGCAAGGCCACTGTCTCATCTTTGAAAGGTCGTGGAGATCAGAGGTACTGGCTGACTTGAAAAGGGCAAATACTACATCCATCTACAGAACAGACAAAGTGTAAGATCCAGAAAACACAGACCAGTCAGCATTAATTCAAGCTCTGCAAAGACTGTAGAACAAGTCGTTGTAGAAGCTATTTCAAGGCACACAAAGGACAAGAAGATGGTTAAGAAAAGACAGCATGGGTTTGCTAAGGATAAATCATGCTTGACCAACCTGTCTGACTTCCGTGAGGAAACAACTTACATAATTAATGAGGGGAGAACTCTGGACATCATATCATCTACCTCATTCTAGCAATGCATTGTCACAGTCTTCCAGAACATCCTTGTTGGTGAGATACGGTCTGGATCAGTGGGCCAGAAGATGGGTGGAAAGCTGGCTGACAGGGTGATTGTGACTGTCTCAAAGTTGAACTTGGCAGCTGGTCATGAGTTGAGTTTCTTGAGGTTAGTATTGGATCTGATAGTACTCACTAACTGTATAAACAATCTGGGTGACAGGATTGGATGCATCGTTGCCAAGTTTGTGGGTAGTACCAAACTTGGAGGACAGCCACAAAGGAGAGCCACTGTTCAGAAAGACCTACACAACAAGAATTGCATGAAGTTTAACAAAAGAAAATGTGAAGTCCTGGACATGAGACAGAAAACACCAAGAGCAATGTAGGCTGAAGTCTCAGCATTTGGATTGTAGCTCTGCTGATAAGAACTTGGGGTCATGGTGTACAGCAAGCTGAATTTGAACCAGCAGCATATCCTTTCAGTAGTGAAGGCAAACTATGTCCTGGGCTGCATCAGCAAGAACACAGGCAGCAGATCAAGGGATGTGATTATCCCACTTTACTTGGCTCTTTTTAGGCCACACCTGGAATACTGTGTCCAGTTTTGGTGCCCCCAGTGCAAGAGTGAGGTTGAAAAACTGGCAACTGTCCTGTGAAGGGATGTCTCCAACAACATGATCACAGGATTAAAAAACTCGATGTGTGAAGGGATTGTGTTTTTTCAGTCTAGAGAGGAGGTGGCTCAGGGTAGATCTAATCACAGTCTCCCAATACCTAAAAGGATGGTTGTACAGAAGATGGAGGTGCTGTCATCACAAGGATGCTGGTTGACAGGTGAAGAGGCAATGAGCAGAAGCTACTTTGTGGGAAAACTGTCTGGCTGTAGGGAGCAGGGGGAAGGAATCTTTACTGTGAGACCAAGTGAACATTGGGATATGTTGCCCAGAGAACTGGTAGAATCTGCCTCACTAGAAATTTTCAAGATTCTGCTTGACAAGGTGCTGAATAACCCTGGATAAAGTCCTGCTTTCAACAGAAGGTCGAAATACATGATCTCTAGAGGTCCCTTTCAATGTAGGCTTCTGTGCAATTATTTTTCCTCTGGAGTCCAATGTTTTGGTCAGTTTTGATAAAAAGAACATTTATGAAAATAAGGCTGGGTACCTAGAGTTGGAATTACGTGGCCTTGTAAGAGAAGGCTTGGGATGGATTTTTATCAGTGTGGTTAAATACCTGATGGGAGGAACTTCTTTACTGTGAGAGTGATTGAACAGGGGAACAGATTGCCCAGAGAGGGGTGTGAAGTCTCCATCCTTGAAGATATTAAAAACCTGACTGGACAAGTTCATGAGCAACTTGCCCTAGCTGACCTTTTGAGCAGGGAAGTTGGACCAGATGATCTTCAGAGGTCCCTTCACACCTCAGCAATTCTATGATTCTGTGAAAAGATTTTTTTCAGATGTTAAGAAAAATACAAGATTATATTGCTGTCTACATAACTTTTACTTTCAGATGAACTGTTATGATAAAGGGTTAAAAAGTGCAGTGATTCAAGTCGTAGAACTTCTAGTACCTTCAGGTGGATTTATTATTCGCTACACGGAAAATAGAGTTCAGAGATAAGTGGTAGGAAAATGAGGAGGAAAAAAAAAAAGGCAGAAAATTTTGCTTCCACCTGAACTGAATTCCTGATGTTCTAATGTTTTGTAGCAGTGACATCTTTTAAATGCTTTCAGTGATGTTCCAGTAGAATAGAACTTGATTCTACTCTGCATTCCTTCTGTTGGGATGCCTGGACATCTGGAGTGTCTTTTTCAGAACTGTTTTTATTAAGGTTGCTGAAGATTTAACTCGTTCTTGTTGAATTACTAGTGTTTTTAACTGTAACTTTCCTCACATTAAAGATCAACAAAACTCCTTTGTGAACGTTTTATAGCCTGACAGAAATTCTTGAGGCTTCTAATATTAATATTTCTTGAGTTCTAGCTGTGCATTTGTATGTGTATGAAGATTATTAAATTTCTGTATTTCTACCTTTCAGCAAGAGCACTTGTAAAGAGGATTATCTTGTGCTATAGTTCTGTATTTCAAAAATACAGAGCCATCTGCGAGCTATATCTGCCTTTTTTTTTTTAACTTCTAAAACTCCTTCTGAAGAGAATACACGTACTAATCTTACTGTTACTATACATGGGTTTTTTTTCACCTTGGTACCTGTGTGCAAAAAATGTTTTTAGAGAGGCATCCAAATTGCATTTAAGATTTGTGATAGCTACAACCACAGAGATCTTTATCGCCAGTATTGACATTGGTATTTTATTTCTGTATGTATCATATATGTGTATAGTATGTGTTGTGTAATTACATTCAGAGTTATTTATCTAAATACAGCATTTCTATCACATGCTCTTTCTCAGATTTATTCACTGTGTTGAGATTAACAGGTTAGCAAAGTCAGTCTGTCAAATTAGGAAATGCCAGGTAATGAGTTGCTCAGGTAAACTGAATTCTTTCCCTTTGTGGATGAATTTTGTAATCTTTAGTTAGGCTTTCTCTGGGATACTCTGGTCTCATTTTGTGAGCTGTAAGAACAGTAATCATGGAGTAGAGTAACTGCTATGTCAGTTTGAAAAACTGGAAAATCTTCACTGACCAGGTTCTTGTTACTGTACGACTAGCTCATCACTGTACTAAGTGTCCTTGTCTGTTCTCTTTGTGTGTGTTCATTGCTGCTGTTCAAAGGTGAATAGTAAGGCAAATGAGACTTTCTTCCAGTCACCCACTGAATGGATTAAAGACCAAAGATTAGAACTTGTCTGTCTTAGTTTTTAGTCTCTAGAAAAAAAATAATTGAAATCTGAGAGCATAACTCCAATTTACTTATTGTGTATGGTTGTTCTGGTTGAAATGTGATTCTCTAAAAGAAAAGATGATGACTAAATAGTTAAGGATTATGGTTACATCCTCGTTAGGTAACTTACTTCAATTAGCGTGAGCAAGCATATAATAAAAAAGAGAAAAAGATAATTTTTTGCCTTGGATACCCTTCATGAGTTCTTAAGAATGTGTTTGGTTAGAAATGAGCATGGTGATGTATAACTGGTGTTAAAGGAATGCAGACACTTACCTGATTCTTAACTTTAACATGCCTTACAAAATTTATACGTAGCTAGTATGCTGGCTAAAACAGCCACATGAAGACAGAGGATTTTCTTTTTAATGCAGTTTATCATAGACAATCTAGGAGAATACAGAAATATCTGGAGAATGTGTTATTGGTTTTAAAGCAATTTTAAAGTGTAATATTACCTGACACTGTACTTAGAGAGGTGGCAACACCTAAGTAATATTTTATGGCCTTGCTAACATACCCTAACTAGACTTTCAGACTGGTTTAGCTCAGAATTTTGTCACCACAGAGAGGATTTTTCTATAAAAACAATAGCACAAAGACACAATATTCTTAAAATGTATCCAGTACAAAGCAGGTTGGCTAGCTGCTATCATATCAGAAGCACAGAGAGTTATTTTAACTTAAATTTCCAATTTATAAAGCTTAATTAGAGAATATTCCTTTTGTGTGTGCTTAGAAAAGGCAGAAAATGGTACATTAGTTGAAGGAAATTCATATTAAGGTAGCTAAAATAATTGACTTGCTGCATCTTTACAGGTAAAACTAAATTAACGTTTTTAAAAGAAGTCTTTCCTCCTACTGCTTCATCTTAATTTCTTTCTTAAAGCCAATTTCCAAAGTTCTGTAAGCAATCTTGCACTAATCTGTATCAGTTCTCATCTCTCTTGCTGCTTTCTCTCCCACTGGGGGGAAGAGTGAGAATCCTGTTCCTTCCTATGTGCTGAAAGGATCATTATCTTTTTGTTCTAAAGAAAAGGAAATAAATCATCAGCTGAAATCTGTCACTGGTTTACTAGTGAGTTTGTTGAAACATTTCTTTGTCTTATTACCATTCGTATAATGACAGATTAAAAATTTCTCTGGAGTTGTCACTATAGTTCTATTTTGATAATGCTCTGTGAGTATTAGTTATGAGTATTAGTTATTCTTCTATGAAACAATGAACTTTTCAGTGGAGATGATGCACTTTTGATAGTGTGGAGGTGGTGAGAAATTAGTTCACCTTAAATTTATAGCAATAAAAACAGAGGCAATGCTACAATTTACACACCACCGAGTGCTCTGCATAAAGAGAGTGTGCTACCATGTTTGAAATGTAACTGAACTGGCAGGAATTTGTGTATATGTTGCCCTGCTGTTCCTTAACTTTCAGCTCCACAGAACTTCGTTTTGCTGAGCTCTTCTTATAATAAAACATTATCTAGATGACATGACTGAGCTTCCTGTTGGTTTAAGTTTTTGCAAGTTTAAAAACCAAAAAAAACCCAACCCACCAAAACCCAAAGGTACTCTCCGTTTTTTTGATTGCATATGCTAAAATTTAATTTTATATTTTTTGACATCAGCCTTCAAAGTCGTCTTGTGGTGGTTTTTTTTATTTGTTTGTTTTTTTTGGGTTTTTTTTTTACTACAGGAGATAGCTGAATAAAGCCTTCAGTGTTCTCTCTCTGCTTTGTGGCATAACTAAAATTTATCAGGAGAATGAGGCTTATATAATCGTATTACACTCTTGCTTTATCAAAGTTACTGGGGGAAGTAGAGAGCTACCTATTGTGTTACATATGGTTATTGCATGCAGAAGATGTTAGGCTTTTACATATTTCCTAAAAATAGGTGCCTAACTACAGAGAACAGCTCAATTAATGCTTTTGCTTAAGGGAGGAATGAAATATGTGCTTAACCTTCTGTAGAGATCAGAAACATCAGTTTTCTGTTAATTTTTCTCCTCTGTGAATCCTCTGATAGGTACTGGTAAGAAAGAGCACTGCAGTCAGTTTTAGTGAAGATGTAGTTCTGGGGCTCATGGAATGGCTGCTGTTTCTTAACATAGCATAGCAACAGCCAGGTGAGGGTGGGGGCTGGATTTTACCTCCTTTTCCTCCTTACCAGAAGAAAAGACAAATAAATTCTCATTGGTTTTGAGGGTGTTAAAGATAGCAAAGTACATTTGTTGTAATCGAGCTGATGTTTCAAGTGAGGTTTCATTCACTTTCTTTCATGTGTCCATGAATAATTTGTTATTTAAATCCTGTCGATGGCAGATGGCAAACTGATCCTGTCAGTCTGCCACGCAGCGCAGAAGGGGGTGTTCATTAGTATCACAGGCTCCACAGTTTCAAGTCTGTATTTTGCTCTGTTGTGTTGTGGGCAAATATAGCCTGAATGATTTTAGAGGAAAGGTAAAAAAGGATCATTTTGGGGAAGGATATTGTGTCAGCATTTGGAACCAGTGTATTTGGAGAAATCTGTAATTTTACAATGGAATTAATATCACCTTGTAGATTGTTTGTTTCAATTTTTGTTGTATTTCTTTAGACCTCAGGATACTCATGGACCAGAACTGATACTACCTGCCAGTATTGAATTCAGGGAAAGCTGTGAGTATATTGTGAAGTTGCAACACTAACCTGTTGACATGTTTTTCTATAGTGTAATATTTCAGTCAGTTTGAAAACTTAAGGATAACTTAAGTAAACATTGAAAAGAATAATGACTAAACAAAGGATAGCTAATCCAGTAATATAACTTATATTGTTGGGGAGGGTGAACACACATTTTGGGTGTTGAGGCAGGTTCCTGCATATCTAATTCTAATTGCATTTCAACTCGGTCTTCAGATATTCAAATGTAACTGTGAAAACATTTTTAATCCTGCCTCCTCAGCAGTACATTGAGTTCATTCTCTTCTATACAGTTCTCCATGCTTGGGTAATAGGTTGCATCTTGTTCAAAGTCTGTTTTATATAAAATCTGATTAAGTTTAAATTTTCATTTAGAATTTTATTTTTTGTTGTCTTGATCTCCAGTTTTTTAAGGTCTCAGATCTGGTAGAAAAATACCATGCCAGAGATTGTTCAAACATTTGAAACCAAATAGATTTGTGAGCAAACAAAGGCAGTTTTTTTATAAAATTCCCTATAATAAGGGACCTTTGTAGGAATAGAATAGACAAGAGGAAGCTTGCATTTTCATGTGCCTTGAAGACGTGAATTTTCAGCAAAGAGATAGGAAGTAGTTCGAAAATGTATCCTGATGATCAGATTTTCTGGCTTTTTATAGAAGTGTGTGGCTGTTATGCCTAAGTAGCTGTAGTACATAATAAACAATTTAGAGTTCAAATTCCTGTAAGTTGCTTCCCTCTTCTCCCTCTTCTCCTCCAAAAAGATGTCCTCTATGCCCCAAGTTATGAAATTATTTTATTTAATTTTCTTTCTGTCTTTGGCTTTGATGTGTTTTTTTTCCTCTTTCTCTACAGCTGAAGATGCCTTCTTATCTGCCATTATAAATTACACAAATAGCTCGACAGTTCATTTTAAGTTGTCACCTACATATGTTTTATATATGACATGTCGGTATGTATTGTCAAGCCAGTACAGACCTGACATCACTCCTACTGAGCGTACTCACAAAGTCATTGCAATAGTCAACAAGATGGTGAACATGATGGAAGGAGTTATACAGGTGAGTTTCTCTGCAAAAACATGTCAAGGGAATGAAATACATTCTGTAGATTATCTAGTGACCACCTTAGTCGTCTTAGTTTTTAATCAACTGTTGGCAAGGGTCAGGCTAATACCTGCACTGATTGTCTATATGAAGGTTTGCTTTTGTGTCAATGAATAATGCAAATGGTAAGAGACTCCTGAGCGATGTAGGAGGTTAGAGAGGGGCTGTTGCTCTGAAGATACGTTCTCTGACAAGAAGTTACTGTTCTGTTCTTTAGAAGGTAAGATCTTTACCAGCATTTCTGGCTGTGAGCTCTGGTAAAACAAGTTGGATGTGCTTATTAAAGAATATCATGTAGATAGTCGTTGTTTTGCACTGATTGATGCTTGAAGTGAACATATTAAAAAGAAACATGACTCTCTAATTTTGATCATGTTACTCCTACAACTTCTATGACCACAAAAATGTATTAAAACTGGACTTTTTGAACCAAGCTGACACAATTGCTTTATAAAGAGAAATGAAAGTTCTCAAATGTTCCAACATCTTGCATGTAGTCTGATGCTATTACTGTTACATGTGTAAGACTTCTACAAAAGCACGGGGGGAGTTCTGTTTCGTGTAGGAATGCAGGATGAGATCCACTGGGTTGTCTGTGCAATTAGACAATATCTTGCATTGTGTAACAGTTGATAAAATGTAATGGTCACTTCCTGAAAAAGGAGTGCTAGTTAGGTGTGCTCACTGAGTAATTATTGTAACTTCTCTTCTGCAGGTTTTTCTCAGAGCAAAAATTGAAGTAATATTTCTATATTTATTAAAACATATGCACTTGTTGCAAAAAGTACTGGCATAGTACAAGCATAGTATGAAGCACTGTACAAGCATAACAAATGTGTCAGTCCTGCTTTAGAGAATTTACAATGTAAGTGTTACCCAACAGGTAGATTAAGGGAGAAGAGGAAAGTAAACAAGAGAGTGGCATGAAAGTCACAGAAAACCAAAACTGTTCAGCTTTTGTTCAGGTTTTAGAAAGATTTAGTGGAGTTTTCAGCAGGTAAGAGTGTTATAATTAGACAGTTCTCCCACCTTTCATAAGAAAGGATGGGAGGAAGTGCCAGTGTTGAAGACACTTTACAGTGAGAAAATAAAAGTCTAGCCTTTCAAGTACATTCTGAAGCTGATGAGAGGTTGAAAGGTGGTTTGAATCTGAAGTGAAGAACTAGTATGTTGCTTTGAGTCTTGATACTGTGGTAATTGGATATTTGATAAAATTGAAATGATATCAAAAGTTAAATATGCAGGTTCTGCTATTAAAAAAAAAACCAAACCTGGCTGTGGAAGAGTGAATTTGTTAAAGTCAGAGGGGAGACCGTGACAGCAGTGGAGAACATGAAATGCAAACAGCCTGAACATAAGCAATTTAGTTGAGAGAATGGAAAGTAAACAATGAAAGGATAGGCTTCAAATATAATCTGGAAGTTACAGGGCTGAACAAAGTCACTCGGTTTACGTAACTAATGTAAACTAGTAACAAGGACCCTAAAAAGACTTGGGGTGATAGGGATGGGTACAGTGGGAAAGCAAATGGATAACCATGTAGCTGCTAGAAGATACTAGAGAGGTGGGCTCAAACATCGGTTTGGTTTGAAAACAAATCAAAGCTAGAAAACAGATTATCCTGTGAAAACATTCCTTTACAATCCTGAGGGCTTCCCAAATCGAGTCCAGCCTTGTGGTTGTTGCAAGAAAGTGTACTTTATATAATCCTGCTAATAGTATTACGAAACTGTTAAAACCAAGTGTTTGTCTGGACTGTCCTTTGTGAAAGGCCATTTCGACAGCCTTGCAACTCTACAGCTGCACTCTAATCTCCACCCTAAAATTTTAGGAAGACATCAACAAGGAAGTGGAAGCTGCATTTGTGATTTGTGAAAGATGTTACCTAGTTGCAAGAAATAAACTGAAGAGAGTTGGAGGCCGAAGAGAAATGGGAGGAGGTTCTTTGAAATATCATGTTGAAGAGCTGGAGGAAAGGGGGAAAAATTACAAATGTGATGAGAGAGTAGAGAACTTCAGTGAATTTGAAGGTTAATGGGCTGGAGACAAAGAAACACGTTGATTCTAAAGCTTGACCAGGAAAATGTCATGAGCTTGGACCTGTTTTAGTGGAGTATAAACAGTGCTAGCTAAGATAAGCCAAGCCAAATTACTTCATCTAAGCGGTAGAATGAGTGGTTATATTGATGGCTGTCACAGTTAAATTACCATGTAATATGTCACTGTATCACAATAGCTTTTTTGTGTGTCTTGACTGTGAAGCACACATGCATACACTGAAAATGATCTGAGGGTGTGAAAGACGGAGAAGACAGATGGGAGGCAAGGGGAGAGAGGCACCCAAAACAGCAGTAGAGGGAAGGCGCACAAACTCTTGTGTTGTACTGTGGGAGTAAAATAAATGGTTTAGATCCTAATTTTGCCTGCCTAGATTGTAAGGAGACTTGATAGCTTTCTGAAGTTACTCAAGAAGTACTTGCTAACATGAAGTTTATGACTTTCTGTAGTCTTTGCATTAGTGTATGCAAATATTATAGAAGACAGGGATAAAAATGGAGAGATCTATGAGAAAGCTTGGTGCTTTCAATAAAAATCTAGGAATAGAAACTGAATTCATATTAAAAAAGCCAAATTTTTTGTATCCTAATTTTTTTTTTCCAAATCATTTTGTGGCATTTCTGATCCTCTGCAAATTTCAACATTTTTTTGTAGAAGGAGCATCTCCTTTTTGTTCTGTGCCAACACATCTTCATTCAGTTCAAAGTGCCTTGGTTGGAAAGGGAGTGGAAACAAAAAAGCAGTGGCAATTTGGGGTTTTGGGCTCTAAGATGATAATAGTAACAGCAAATTACACCTCAAATTTTTGCATCTAAGCTCACTGTGTTGCAAGTGGGGGAGCTTTAGCTTTTCTGAGTAGAAAGCTAAGAAGAATTAAGTAAGAGCTCAGTTTTAAATAATCAGACAAACATATCTGGTGGGTTTGGGGTTTTTTTTGTTTGCTTAACTCAGTGTAGCTTATATGTACTAGCATTTAAGGAGCTGAGTGTGGTATTTCATTTGACTCTCTTTTGTTTAAAACAGTCTTTTTTGTTCTTTAATTGAAAAGCCATGTATTAAATCTGTCCTAGGTGTTTTGTGTGTTTAGCTTGGTTATGTTTGAGTTTGGGTTTTCGGTTTTGTTTTTTTGTTTGTTTGTTTGTTTTTCCTGTTGTTGTTTTTATCCTGGTGGGGATTTTCTGTTCCCCTTTGTGTGTGTTTGTACATTGTCTTCATTGCAGCAGTGTGGGCAAATAGCTCCCTGGATCTGTTACTTGGATGGCTAGTTACCCCGTTGCCTGCAAAAAGTTCTGCGGGATTTCTGTGGTGCACTGAGCATGGAATAACCAACTAGTCTGGGATGTCAATTAGTACAGGGCATTCCTTGAATTAATTGTGACATGTGGCCACTTCAGTTCTTGGCTGTTGTGCTGCTAGTCGTATTAAAATAATTCATTTTTTAAAAGGGGCTCAGTTGCATTGTAGCTACTGATTAACGCATCTGTGTATAATTGTGAACATAAGTGTTGTACCTTCATATTTAGTGTTTGATTTCTAAAGCTATCATGATTGTTCACAAGTTTCTTTCTTCTATTCTGTTTGATTTCCTTCGTCCGTTTTTCTCCAGGAGGTAGACCAGGTTGATCAGGTAGGATATTTTGCTGGGAACTGATCCTAGCTATGTTGGCTTAGCTCAGTTTCTCATGCTGCTTCCATATCAAAATACAATACTCAAACAGCTGGACTTGAACAGTTCATAACACTCATTCAGCAACTGGAACATGCAGTACTAAAATCCTTTTTTGACTATGCAACTTTTACGGCATTCCATAATTTCTGCTTAACGCACTTCAATGTGGATATGAAATGACCAAAGTTCTTTTTCTTCCCTTTATTTTCTTTTTTTGTTGTTTGTGGTTCCTATTCTTTGGATTTCATCTGAGGTTGCCTGGCCTGGCATTTGTGGTCGGGAGATGGTGAGATAGATCAGTACTTGATACTGAATCACCTGGTATCAAAGCCAGTGAGCGCAGTATCAGAGTGGCAGTGGGCAGTAGTGAATATGCGCTTGAAAGTGCACAGACTACCAGATACTGCATTCAGCTAAGCTTGTAGCACTATGTAACTAGATGCTTGTGTCGTGGCTTTATTGATATGGCTATTGGCAATTTAACAGAATTTCCTATGTTCAGTGAACGTGTTAAAATTGAACTTACCAGTTACAGCAATTGCAATATTACATGCAAATGTTTTGCAAATATCTGGTATCTGGGATATGTTTGGTGAAATGGGAGAAGGTACTGGTCTATCTTTTGGAGCCTTTTTAAGCTGCCATGCTTTATCGGAGACCTATTTCCCTGCATTATTTCTTACTTCTTTCTACTTACAGAAACAGAAGAACATTGCTGGGGCACTTGCCTTTTGGATGGCAAATGCATCTGAATTACTGAATTTCATAAAGCAAGACAGAGATCTTAGCCGAATTACTGTGGATGCACAAGATGTTTTGGCACACTTGGTTCAAATGGCATTCAAGTAAGGCTATCAACCTTCCGCTTCGCTTAACATATTTTACGTTTCTGTGGTTTTTAGAGTAACTTCACATTTTTGCCAAATTTTAGGTATAGCGATAATGTCTTTTGTGTATTGTTGAATATCTGAGAGGAGGACTTAATATGAGAAGCTAGACTTACTGCTTTAGACAGATAATTTGTTTTATGAACGTGGATTACTGGGCTATGCAAGGAGTGTCATCTGTTAGCTGTTCTTGTGGTAGTTTAGGCTTTCAATGAAAATTTTAGGGAAATGTTATTTAAATTTAGTTTGTGTTGATTGCCTCTTAATTTAAGGTTTTGTTGGAGATGGGAGGAAAGGTTATTTTTGCTGTTAATATATAAATAGGTAGGCTTAAATATTTGTGGGTCTCTAATGAACCTTGCATCCTTTAAGGTCTTCTAATAATAATCTAATTTAATAATTTGCATAAATAGCCATTTGCACAGTGGATGTTTTACACAATTTTTTCTTAAAAACGTGAAGACAGGTTTTGGCTTGAGGTGAAATCAACCTGTGCTCATCAGCTCAGGCAATTACAATACTGATTAAAAGAAAAATTGAATGAAGTGTCCAATGGGAAGGGAAATCCTCTGAGGAACGGGTCTTCGAACGAAGACTGCAACATTGAAGTGAGCGCAGCGCTAGTCAACAAGGGCTTAATTTTTGTTCATATCTTGATTCTCTTTTGGTTTCCCTCAAGCCACTATTGAACAAGTATTTCTCAGCAAATTTGTGTGTCTCAAACTAGTGTTTAGAGAAGTCCCTGTATACCTTGGATAGCTTATACCCAGCCTTTCCCAACTTGTAGTATGAAGAGTATTTAAATATAGTCTTTTCATACTTCTGTAATGGTAGATTCATGTAATTCTGTAGAATATAGTCATTCTTCTTTTTATACCATGGCAGGATTGGGAGACCTAACCGTGGTTTAACTGTTTAGCTTTAAGGGTGGCTGTATTGCTCTGAAGAGCAGTATGTAGTATGTGAAATCTTATAATTGCTTTCTGAACTTTTGAAAGGTATCAGAGATGCACCAAACCACTTTGTGTGTACTCCCACAGATTCTTTTTTTTCCTGTTGGTGAATTACGGGTATAGCAAGTAGCTATTTTGACAAAGTCTTTCAATTTTTATAGCACCTCTAAATTACTAACTGTTAATGAAGCTATGACTTTTTGCCACAGAACCATGTCTTGAATTCGTGTCTTGAAACAACTCTGTGCTACTTCAATTTGCTAGTCATTGAAGACAGAGTTTTGCTGTGGCTAGGACGGAATGGCCCTGTATTTTCCCTGTACATGATGAGCAAGCTGGATGCGAAAGGATACTTCTGAATTTTAGCTGTGTGTGAATTCTCACTTAAGTACACTGTGATGTGTACTAAGATTCCAAATGGATGTATTAAAATTTTTGGAGGATTGTGGAATATGTATTTAGAAGGCAAATTAAAAAAAGCAGAACAGTAGCGTGAAAAGAAAGAAATCTGCTGTGCAAATGTTACTTGATGGTTACAACTGGCATACACCTGAATTGGTCAAAATTACTGTGGCTTTTGTTTTCTACCAGTTGAGAGTATTGCATTAAAATGTTACCAGTGAAGCAGAAAGGGGAGTTGTAGAAAGTCATGGAATATTTTCCTTTGTATCTGTGATTACAATTGGATTCCCTTTTAGTTTCAGTTCTTAATGTAAACTGTATAAATAAATTATCAAAAACAATGTTAAGGAAAATGTTTAATTATTAGAAGAGAAGGAATACTAAAACAGGCTTTTCATTCACTGTAGTTAAAGGTAAGAGAAGAATCAAAAAAATTGTTTACACAAAACACTAGGGCCGTTTCAGGATCTTGTGCTCAGAATAGGAAAATGATATTTTTTTTTTTTTTTTTTTTTTTTAAAAAATACTACTCTTGACAGATTTTAATAGAGGTAAGTGTATGTGTTTGGAAAAAATAGTTATTGCAATCTTACAGAACCAAAGTTTGGCCTGACAACATATCTTTGTGACCTTCGCTTACAAGTGTGGTGGCAATACTGCATTTAAGTGTCTGTGTTTGTTTCCTAACCTTATTATTTTTCCAATGTTTCTAAGAAAGGTATGGGAGAACTGGTCTCTCTTGCTTTTTTTAAAAAGTATTATCTGGTTCCCCATAGTCACATACATAACACTGATTTCAGGAATTTTGTAGTTTGATAAATCTCTCTTTTTCTTTAGAAGCATTCATAATGAACACATAGAGGATTTTAACTTTTCTCCCCTTCCCTTCCAGGTACCTGGTTCATTGTCTGCAATCGGAGCTTAATAACTACATGCCAGCATTCCTTGATGATCCAGAGGAAAATAATCCTCAGAGGCCTAAAATAGGTTAGACTACTTGATCTTTTCTTGTCTTGTAAACCATACAATTAATTAGTAATAAACAGAATTTTTCTCAACAGTGACACAGCATTTACAAGTTTCCCTAACCCCTGAGAGTTGTTTGGATCAACTTTGTATGGATGATAAGAAAGGACAGCAGTGACATTCAAATGATCTATATTGGGTTTAAAAACCATGGAATAATTAGTTCGGAGCGGTACCTCTGGATGTCACCTAATCCAGTGTCTTGCTCAAGGCAGGTGCAACTAGATCACATTGTTCAGAGTATTGCCTAGTTGAGTTTTGAATCTCCCCTGAGGGACGGGGATGACGCAACATCTCTGAGTAACCTGTTCCAACGTTTGACCACCCTCGCGGTGAAAATACTTTTCCTGTATCTAATTGGGATTTCCCATGTTGCAGTTTTTGTGTTGGTTTGCCTTTCTTCTGTGCTACCACTGTGCACCTTTGAGAGGGATCTTGTTCTGAACCCTCCCATTAGGTAGATGAAGACAGCAATAAGCTGTGCCCTTAGCCTTCTTGTTCCCCAGGATGAATCAAATCCACTTCTCTGTCTCTCTTTTACGTCTTTTTTTCCATCCCTCTCATCATCTTGGTAGCTCTCTGCTGAATTTGCTCCATTAAATCACTATCCTCCGTGTGCTGGGGAGTCTAAAGCTGAATGCTGTGCTCCAGATGCAGCCTCACAAATGCTGAATGCATAGGAGGGGTTGCTTCCCTCCCTTTTGCTAGCTGCGCTGCTGCTAACTTAACAGCTTTAGTATGCAACTGGCTGCCTTTCAAGCAAGGACACACTACTTAATCACCTTTAACTTGATGTTTACCAGGATCTCTACGTCATTTTTGGCAGGGCTGCTTTCTATCCAGATGACACCTAGCCAGTACCATTTGCATAGACTTAGTCCTTCCCAGATGCAGGACTTAGCAGTTGCCTTTGAACTTCATGAAGTCCCTTTCAGCCCATTTCTCCAGCTTACTGAGCTGAAAAATACCACTGCCCTTCCCCCCAGCTTAATATCGTCAGTGAATTTGCTGAGAATTCACTCCATCCAGTCACTCAGGCCATTAATAAAGTCATTAAATGGTATCAGTCCCAGCCTCAGTCCGTGAGGGAAGCCACTATTAGCTGACTGCCAACTGGACTTTGTATCCACAAATGCACTAAGTCCAGTGGTCCATCCAGTTCTCTACATTATCATCTGCTTATCCAGTCCTTAGGAATTTCACTATAAGGGTGCTATGGGACAATCTGACAAATTGCCTCTGAGGCACTAAGGTTAAGCTGACTGGCATTGCAGATTTCTGGCAAGGATCCCTGCCACGATACTTTAAATAGTATAGTGCTTTGAAGCAGTGTCAGCCTTCCTGGGCTGCTCCTGTCCATAAGAGCATGCTGGTCATGTGTGCTATCCCACTGTGTCCGTAATCCCAGCTCAGTGGCTGTGCTCAGACTTCTAATGCTTCTCGTTGCTTTCCATGCTGAACACATTCACACACAGGCCCCTGAGATAGGACCCCCTGTTGTGCTTTTCATGGGCACAGTGTGAGAGCCTCCTACATTATGTAGCCTGATGACTAAAGATGAAAATGGAAAACAAAAATACTCAAGTTTGAAGGGATTAACTGGGGATAAAATGTTAGGAAGAGTTGAGAAACTGGTGACATTCTGAATAATTGAAGTAAAGATGATCTGCCGAGCTATTAAGTACAGTCATTCTGTTCAACTATGAAGAGTATTTATAACAAAATTTGTATATACTTCCTGGTCTTTTGGGTATTAAGCTTTCTGCAATTGCTTTTTTCCTGTGTTGAACACTGAAGGAAGAATACAAAGATGTACTGTTATATTTTTAGTGCCCTGTACTGTGAGAGAGTACTTTCTGGGACATGAACCCTGAAAAAGTAGCAAACCGATACTGAAATAAAGGCAGATGATGTTCATGATTTCAGTTATTTTTTAGCTGCTTCATTGATTTCTGCCTTACACAGATAGTTTTTTCAGGCACAATCCTGTGTTTCAATTCTAAAGAAATTAATTTGGTGGTCTCTTCAGATTTTAGATAAAAGTATTGTCTTAAAAGAAGACTTGGAGGTAAATGTTCTACGTTCCACCAAGAAGCATATAAGGATGTTTGCTCTTGGTGAAGCTAACGCAAGGTCCCTACTGCTTCTTACATAATATTGCAGTTCACTAACGGGCAAAAGGAAATTTGAGTAACGTTTTAAAAAACTAATGCGTAAACAGAAGGTACATTCTGCAGTTCAAGTGCATCATGCAATGCAAATAGTTTCTGCTGAAATTTTTGAGTACAGTTTGATATCTAACTGCAAGGAGCTATGGAATAATTACAATTGCGTTTGAAACAAGTAGAATATAAAGTTTTTCACTTGTTACTAAAAATAACAGAAAAAATGAGTTTATTCAAGTGAGGACATGATTTAAGTGTCAGATATAACCGATGATGTACTTGCATACTAAATATTTCCCCAAAAGACTTTATTTTCATTTCGGGAGTTAAAAAACCAATTTCAGTTACCAGTTTAATGTTGCTCAGTCTTGAAAACCATGGAGCAGTAAATTTATTCCAAAAGTCTGTATAACTTAAATACATGTAAGTTCCACCTAGCATTCACCAACCTGATTTGGGTGTGTCTGTATTATTTTTTTTATGGCCTAAACCAGTTGTACATAGCAATATGTGAACACGGTTTACTTTTTGTTTTATCCCTGTAGATGATGTGCTGCATACGTTGACTGGAGCTATGTCCCTGTTGAGACGGTGTAGAGTGAATGCTGCTCTGACTATACAGCTCTTCTCCCAGCTGTTTCATTTTATCAACATGTGGCTTTTTAACAGATTAGTTACAGCCCCAGATTCAGGGTTATGTTCACATTATTGGGGAGCCATTGTTCGCCAACAGTTGGGCCACATTGAAGCCTGGGCAGAAAAACAGGGTTTAGAATTGGCTGCTGATTGCCACCTGAGCAGAATAGTGCAGGTGAGTGTGTATATTTCTGATTAACACTTCTCACATAATTGTGTATTCAAAGACAGTATTTGTATATTCTGTGTTCTTAGGGAATAGCATGTGGACAAGTGTAGTTTGTGTGAATCAATCCTGGAACATGGAAGTAGCCTGCAAAGACACAAAATACGTTTTCAGTATCATTAATACTAAATTTACAAGTTAACTTAATAATTAGTGATTGTAGCCAACATGCTGTTCAGTTTCTGGTTTTAAGACTGAGCTATAACTATGTTGGAACAGAGACAAGAGCAGCAGCTGAAAAATTGATATGCCTCGTTTATGATAGGTTTAGTATTGATTCGTCTTACAGGTACAGGAGATACATTTAATGGTTGTTTTGGGGATATTTGTGTTGCTTCTGTTACAAATCTGGATTCTTGCTATGTCTTTTCCTATCTCTTATCTAAAGAACAGTCAGAAATGAAATTTAAGGTTCCATTCTGGTTTGATTTTGTCTCCTATGATTTATTTTTTTTCTTCCTGCCCCCCAGGCAACCACATTGCTTACCATGGATAAATATTCTCATGCAGATGTTCCAAATATTAACAGTACTTGCTTTAAGCTGAATTCTCTGCAGCTACAAGCTTTATTGCAGAATTATCACTGTGCTCCAGATGAACCACTCATCCCAACAGTGAGTCTCTACTATCACTTACTGTGCTGTTTTAATGTACCTGAGGAATATAGACGTAAAAGTAAAAACACTGGCTGAAAATCACTATCTTATTCTTACTGGTTTGGAATTATTAAGAGAAGAGTCAGAGTGGGCAATCTGTTTTCCATACACTAAGAAGTATCGGTGGTATTAGCCTGCTTCTGGCCACCAACTTTGGTGGGTGTACTTCACTGCAGCTCGAGCAGGATATTACCAAAAATCTCTTACACGGACTTGGAAAGTAAGGTAACAATGCATGTTACGCATGCTGAGAGAGTTGTCACTGCACCTTACACTGTTTGTGGATGAAATACCATACAGCGGTAGAGGAGAGGTGCACAGAGCACTCCTAAAAGCTCATTCTGTGTGTAACCAGAAAGAGCAAAGATTGATAATTTGTAGAAATCAAATGAAAGAAGCAGGAACACTTAAGCTTTTTTTGCATGTGGGATGTAAAAATCCATTAATCTTGCATCCCTTCATACAAGCAGCGGACAGGTTGTCCTTTGGCAGATTAAGTCGTGGAACATGTATGTGTATGTGTGTATATATATATATATATATATGTAATGGTTTTTTCAGAACTGTTTTTTACCTTGGTATTTAAGATAACTGACTATCCTAAGTTTTATCCATGGGAAAAATCTTTTTGGCAAAAGTCAAAAAAGGTTTTGTGTTCCTCGCAGAATTGTAAAGAACTCTTAAGATGAACTCTGATAGTTGACTGATCTCAAAAAAGTCTTAAAAGGTGAAGATAATCTAATATTTATGTAACTGAAAGCATTGTCTACAAAGTCTGTTTTTTGATAACTTCGGATACATCTGTTTATTAAATCAAAGGTACTAATACAACAGTTCTAAAGGTGTTTAGAGAGGACTTGTAGTTTGGATGTATTTTTATATATTGGCTACCAAACTAAAAAGTCTTTTGCTGAAGAATATAGCTTATATTTCCTGTTTACACATAGGTAGACTTCCACAGTTGTTGTTATTTAGGGACCTCCAAAGAAACATAGTGCTAGATTTGACAGGTCTTCTTTGTGTCAGAGGGAGGATTACAGTATGGCTGGTTGGTCCTGTTGTGCAGTGGTATTTAGAACTTCTTTGCTCCTTGCTATGAAAAAGACTTGTACGCTCAAACCCTGACTTACTGCTACCAAATCTGAAAAATTTCAAGGCTTGGAATTTGTTCAAAGGAATATAAGTGTATTTACTTCTACGTATTTTAGTGTGATATAACTCTTCTAAAAATTAGCACTTTTAATGATTAAAAAGCCCTCCTTGAAGAGCACTGCTAAAGACAGGCTGGATTTATCTGACTTCCCCCTGGAAACTTTGCAGAAGCTGAACATTTCAGATGAGAACACTTACATGGTTTTGTCTTAACTGTGTTCTGCATTGTGCTCCAGTCATAAAATTATTGTATCAGGTTTACAGATTCTGAGTTACACATCAGTAAACTGAGGTGAGATTAAGACCAAACTGTAAGCTGGTCTTGGGAGCCAAGTAGAAGCTGTTACAGAGTTTTAAATACAGCTCTCATACTAAGTAAAAACATGCACCACATGTTTTAAAAATACTGAAGTAAAAAATAAATGCTTCTGTTACAGTTTTTAACCACATAATCTATGGGATTTAATGAAATAAAGCAGTGCAGACTGTACTTAGTGGAGCCGAAGAAGTTTTATACCTGATAATTTATTTTCCAAATTCCTTTTTGTTACAGTGTCAGTATTTTCTTAATGTTAAGGTTTTTTTCCTTAATGAAAATTATCGCTTTATAGTAACGATGTCTTTCTGCCTTCTGTCCAGGAATTGATAGAGAATGTAGTCACTGTTGCGGAAAATACGGCTGATGAACTTGCTCGCAGTGATGGCCGAGAAGTCCAGCTGGAAGAGGATCCTGACTTACAGCTACCTTTTCTTTTACCGGAAGATGGCTATTCCTGTGATGTTGTCAGAAATGTTCCAAGTGGTTTACAAGAATTTTTAGATCCACTCTGTCAGAGAGGGTAGTTCTTATGTTGTTTTACAGTGATCTTCTTTTTTTTGGTGTTGTGAACACAGAATGCAAAATATACTTTAGTAAAATGTAAACCACTTTCTTATTCTTTATGTATGTTTCAGTCTTTTTATACTGTGTTCTTAAGTGTTTACTTTTGAAACCCATAAAAAGTATGCAGGATTTTTTAATCTTTACCCTTTCTTCCTGTCCCTTTCGTTCACTTTCAAGGTCCTAAATTAGCAGTGCTGAGTTACTAGTGCCTACTGAAATTTTGCTTTGCCTTTGCTCTAGAGCTTTTTTGGATTTTGGTGCTAGAGCAGCAAAAAGTTACATAAATATAAATTTTGTAGTACTATAACAATTTCACAGTTAACTTTTAAAGCTAATGTGAATTAAATATTTACATCACTTTTTTTACTTATCAGCTACTTCCGTATAATGTTAAAACCCATGAGCTTAAAATAGTTCTTTTAATGTTCATCAGCATAAGAGTTGATGGTTTGGACATTTGTAATCTCACAAAATTGCAGATGAGTAGAGAGCTCTTGTGGTTGGACGAAAGTGACAGAAACTTGAGAAAGTAAAGCAGGGGGTCTGTCAGAGCATTTACAGTGCATGAACAAGTCATGATCCTTATCTTGGGTTACTCAATTTTATTAGAAACCTTTTTGTTATATAATTTCTTTATAATTTTCTGCTTAAAAAGCAGTTTAAAAATTTCCGCAGGAATATCATGGTAGGTAGGACAGCAAAGTAGGTGGTCAACAAAGCAGATTTACTCTGTCCTACAGTGAAGTTTTGCAATTGTTGGTTCCAACTTATAGAAAAGACATATTCTTGCATTTAAAAAAAAAAAATAATAGGAAACTGACTGTTCTGAAAGTCCAGTGAGTTACAGAGGATGTAGTCTTGAGACTAAAGGACACTAGTAGAATAAATTCTTTAATTAGTAAGTATAAATAATTTGCTGTACAAATGTCTGTATAGATATTACAAGTAAGGCCTTTTTAATGCAGACATTCAAAATTTTGCTTTTCAAGTATCCCTTAAATTATGCTGAGGGACTGGTTTGCAGTCAGTCAGTATAAAGTGAACTGCTGAAAGGTCGTCTCTGACACAGAGAATATCATGTATTAAGATGGAGTGATTTGTAATTTGACTGTGATGTGGATTCTTACTGTTCTTGATTTAGGAGTGAATTTTGGATGCCTCTCAGCTGCTGTGTCTTCCTTTTTCAAAATTCTAGGAATTGCTCGATTAACAAAAAAACTAATCAAGTGAAACCCCACTTTTAATTGCATAGTTGCATTAAATAAGTAATGAGTCTAGGTGAGGCTTCACCTCTCCCAAATCTATGGGAGACTGGTTAGCTGGACTCTGCAAAGCAGAAGATTTCTGAGGTGCTGTCTTATTTAGAGTTCTGGTGCTTTATATTCTAAAAGATAAATACTGCTATTTGGTATTTCCTTGTGGCAGGCTATTTGATTTTAATAGATCTCTTAAGAAAATGCCACGACTATGTTAATGTTACATTTTCTTCTAGGTTTTTGTAGACTAACACCTCATCCACGGTCACCAGGCACGTGGACAATATACTTTGAAGGTGCAGACTACGAAAGTCACCTGTCACATGAGAATGCTGAGCTAGTAAGTATTGATTCAGTGAATAATTGTTGAAACGGATATCTTGGCAAGTCACTGTGTTTTATGTGGTGAGTTTTAATCCCTATTAGGAAGAACAGGCTTCATCATTAGACATGTAGTTTATCAGTGATTTGGTGAATTTCAGGAACTATCTGCAGATTTTTGTAAGTCAGTGTTTTTCTAGGCTGTGGCATGATATAATTCTCATGTAAGTAAACTTTGTGTTGTTCCCTCACCCTGAGTGAAGAAATGCCTTTTAAACGCAGGCAAAAATATATATGAACATGCATCATAATGTGAATGGAGCTGCAAGCTCCTTTTATTTATAAACTGCCAGTTACCAACGAAATGTTTAATATTACATTGTAATACAGTACTTTTTTTTTTTCTGCTAGATTTTCAGCAAAAATGGTTTAGTTTCCCTTTTCATTATACTTAGTAAAGAGTGATTTCATTTCACTGTGAGGTGGCTTTTTTATGTTGCAGGGTTTCTTTGGTTTGGTTTGTGTTGTTTCTTTGTGGTGGGTTGGGTTTTTTGGGGAAGGGATTTCTTTTTTGTGGGTGTGGGGGTTTTTTTTGTTTTTTTTTTTTTTTTTGAATATATGATAACCAAGAATGTTAAAGTTACAGAACAACTTCGTTTTGGAAATGTGGTGACTTCATGTGAAATCATTTTTAGAGCAACTAAACAGAAATAGTTTCGTATTTATAATTTGTATTTCAATGATATCAGGAAGGCCAACATGGAACTACAATTATGTTCCAAAGGCCTTCTATGAAAACACTTGCCCCTTGCTGTTCATAGGGACTTGAAAGCTTCATTTACTCTGTTCAGAACCCGACATGTGTTAGATGACACTATGCAGTCTCACTGCAGTGGCTGAAGAACATGTTTACTTTACAGAAGAAAGCATCTCCTAAATCTGTATGACTGATACAGCAGAGCTCAGTCTTGAACTGATAAGCCAGGCTCTGCGGGCTTGGTATCTTGGTAAACAGGCATTAGACTGGGGAATATACAGCAGAGATATTTTTGAGACATCATGCTCTTCCTCCTCCCCTTGTTGCTCTAAAGAAAAGCATTTTATAGAGCTGGTGGAAATAAAAATCATCTGAAGTTGTACTAGGTACTTGCTGTCCCTCATACTAAGAAAAAGCTGAAGTAGAATTCTGGCCGGTCTTCCTTAAAAAGGCTTTGTAAAGAAATGGAGGATGAGTGGATGCTGCTACTTCGTTCATCCATGGAAATGGATACCGTGTAAGACTGTTCAAATAACCTGATCTAATCATTCTTCTCTCTGGTGCACATATGTTAACTGAATGTGCTAAGCTTGAGAGTTCTAAAAGTCTTTAGTCTTGTGTCTGAGCCGTGCTTTAAATGCTAGTTCACACATCACCTCTTGGTGCAACATGTCTACATAACCTAAATACTAGGTAAACGTTCTTTTTTTCTGGTGTGTTTTTTTTTGTTTTTTTTTTTTCCTCCTCCCCAAGCCAAAACTATTCTCATAGTTCTGCTTCTGTTGGTAGTCTGCGGAATTGCCCAGGCTAGGCAGTCCTCCTCAAATTTTCACTGAAGAATTTCTTTTATTCTTAGACCAAGAAAGAAATTCAGTATAGACTGATGGCAAAGTTAAGTGGCTTACCTTTTCCAGTGTGTATATTTGTTAAATTAGTTTACTAATGATTATATTTAAATTAGTGGAAAAAATCCTAAATAAAATAGGAACAGATTCTGTTCTGCCATCTGTGGCACAGGAGTGCTAGACTACTCCTACCTTAAAAAGTGCTTCCTTTTCTAGTACTTTGAAACTGAGCTCTGTGTAGATCACACTCACCTTTCTAATAGTAGCCTACTGAGTCTGAAGTTCAGTTTTCATTAAAAGTTACTACAGTTTTATAGACCTGTTGGATTTCAAATTGTGAATCATTAGTATCTCTTCACTAAATTAGAGGAGGAGAAACAATGAGTACACTTCAAAGCTTTGGCAGTGTTTGTAACGCAGGTGTGGTACTTGATAATGTGAATCCATGTTAATCAAATGTTTAAAATGGAGTACCAGACGTATTCTTTAGGATGTGAGATCTGCTGTTGCACTAACAATTTTGTTTTGATTGTAGATGAACTATTTTGCGCAGTATTTTTCCTGGTGTGGTAGTGAATACGAACTCTTTTTTTTTTTCTTCTTTCCCCTTCTCTGTTTCATAGGCTCAGCCTTTGAGGAAAGAACCTGAAATTATCACTGTAACACTGAAGAAACAAAATGGAATGGGCCTGAGCATTGTTGCTGCCAAGGTATGGAAGTCAGTTTGTTTAAGTGTTATTGAAAAAAGTTTTTGTTGTTGGTTTTGTTTTGTTTTTTTTTATCAGGCTGCTGTGGAAAATGTTAATGGAAAAATCTATTTGTAGTTATTATGACATTTAAGGTTAAACCTCTATTACAGGTTTATTCATTTTTCAGAGACAAAAATTGGCCATGTTATTAAATGGAATTAATAAACAGGCTTACTTAGCACTTCTGCTGAAAAGCAGCAAAAGTGTCTAGGGAAAAAAAAATAGTAAGTATAAAGAATAAAATATGTGGGTTGGTTTTTTTTAGTTTGAATAAATAAAATAATTCAAATGTGATCATTAAAGTTTGTATACTTTCTGCTATGAAGACACCACCTTATCTTTTGCATAGTGCACAGATGCATGTATGACTTTGGTTTTGCTTCTTTAGAAAGCTACAGCGTATTAAGTAGCTTGTTGGAGTGTATACCTCTTGCCCTGACTTGCTGAAATTGTGGATGTATGCTTCTCTTAGTAGCACTAGGTAGTAATGTATAGAATGCACATACAACTCCAGCCACCAGATGGAGGACTCCACTAGTTGGTTGGTTTTGCTTTATTAACTGGGTCACATAGCAGACATAATCGTTGAGTTTTAAGCTTGTTATAAATTATGTAACGGTGATATCCAAAAGTCCTTGTGGTAATTACATGGCATACAAGAGATAGAACAAGTGTTTCCTAATGTCTCTTCGCTGTGTAGTATGTGAAACTCCAGAATGCTGTAGTCCTCCTCAGCATTTAGTGCATGGGCTGAAAACATGATTGTTTTACTGCTTTTAAGTTATCTCACGTAGTTAATTTGCTTCTAAACAGCACTATTGTTTTTTTTTTTCTGCAACTTCACTCATTTTGTAGTCTGTTCTTGAAATGGTCATCTTGCATAGTATCGGCTTTTAAGATTTATATCTGATCGCTGTAAAGGAATACCGGGTGTCAGGTGTGTATTGCTAACAATCAGCAGTCATTGAGGAAACTATTCAAGATCTGAAAAATGTAACTCCATATTCTGCTTTTATTTTGGTGGGGTGGGTTAATAATTTGAGAAGAAAATATTTAGCAAAGATCTTGAGATATGCCAGATTAAATATGTATCAGACTTCTGACTGCTATCTGCATTTCTGTTGAATGTTTCAAAATGTGCAGTGGAAATAATTTTTTTTTTTTTCACTTTAAACCGTGAAATCTGATTTCTCATGTAGAGAGAAGCAGAATATATCAGGGGAAAAGGTTTCCCTTTTCACTCGAGCTGGCTGGCTTCTATATGTCCTTTTAACAACCGACACTCTTAACTTCCCTTAGCAGTATGTAACAGTGCTGTAAGCTCGATTTGAAAGTTTTTTGCAAGCTATTTAACCAATTCCATGATTTCTTTAACGTGATGGAAGCAGCAGTCTTCATCTCAGTGTGGCTGCAGAAACACTCACTGGTTCAGGCAGCAATTGCATTTCATCTTGCTGCTGTGTGCCTGCTGCAATATTGGAAATCTGATTTTAAAACAGTTGTGTACTAAACCTTGATCTGAAATAAGCAAGAGGAAGGTTTTTGTTTTAGTTGCAGTATATGTAGAATAGAAACTTCTGCTTCATTTGAAGTCAGCAGAATGTTCGTTGGATAGAAATAAAATTGTCTTGCATTGTGTTGAAACAAGTTGCTGTAGTAGTTAAATAGGATTATTTTCAAGGCATTACTTCAAGGGGTTCAGAGTTGCTTATTGTAAGTAATTAATAGCATGTTTTTCCCATAATAGGCTTCATAAAAACAACAGAGTAAGGAAGACTATACAGGCGTTTGTTTTCTCAGTCTGGCCAGAGCAGAATGGATTAGAGAATTGAGTGAGTGTGACTGAGAAGCTAGCAATAGTGGGTGGATTTTTTTCTTTCTATTCCTATCTTGTTGACTTCTATTAATAATTTTTCTGACATGTCTCAAGTTATGTATCTTTCACCAGCATAAAAACTAAAATTCTCATTTTTTTCCTTTGGCTGGAGAAAACACAGGAAGAAGTCCAGTAGACTCATAAAAATTCCTAGGCATTAACTGGATAGAATACCTGAAATGAGAGGGAGAGGCAAGTGTAAGAATAAATTCAGGTTTTTCTAACTTTCTTGATAGTAAATCACCTATGAAATGCTCATATGAAAGTACCTTATAGTTGAAGAAATGAAAGCTCATGTTGAGTTTCGGAAGTACACAGTTACTGCTGTCATGCACATGATCCCAGTTTGATTGCTGACCCAATTACATTTATTGAACCATTGGTTTCTAGAGCGCTTCATAAGTGCTGTAATAAAAGAAAATGCAGTGGCTGGTCAACAGGTGGCCCTGCTCTAATCAGTGAAAGACAACCCTGAATCAGTTCAGCTTTGGTTAGGAAAACCGTTGTTTTTCCTGTGATGTAACAAAATTGTTGCTGTCAGTAACATGCTGTGAGAATGCCTTTGCATGTCAATCCTGACCTGCCTTTCTTGTTAAGTCTTAATGGGCTTCTCACACTTGTCACTGGCTTTGGATGAAGTTCACTAAAAGGTAGGTTGGTGATATTCTAGAGATGGGTGAAATAGGCAGATTCTCAGAGGTTGTAAATAAAAAAAAAAAAATAAAGTCCCTACTGACTGCTTTTCTACCTGTTGCAAAAAGTTCTACACTTCCCTAGTAATCTGTGCTCGTCTCTGAGGAAACATCTAACAAATTTATCATTTGATAATTCATTGAGGTTTTATTAGTTTGCAGGGGTTTGTAGATAAAGTCTCTGAGAATTAAGAGTTTTTAATGGTGAAATTTGATACCATACCTTACATAGCCTTTCCACACCAAATGTTCTTGATAACCAAGTGATTGTCACACCTTCTTTGCCGCAATCAAAAAAGGTGATTGCACTTGAAGCTTAGGTTATACAAGCAGGGAAGTGATGCAACTTGCATTGAAGTGCTGTGCACCTGCTTATCCTTACGATAGATGGTTTCAGATTGTGGTACTAGGTGACTGCAAACACATCGACGTTAAAGTGAGAACAAAACCAAACCAAAAAGAGATGAGTCAAGGAGTATATGAAAGTGTTAGGTCCCTGGGGAACCCTGTATTTGATCCTCTTTCCACCTAATGGTAGGTAAAATGTTAAAGCACATTACTTCTAATTAAATAAAATATGAGTAGCTGTGAAATAGGAGTTTTAAAGGCCTGCCAGGAGTGCCCGGGGAGCACAGAAATGCTGCGCATCACCGAGTTCACCTCACTCTGCTGTAAGGGTGTTTTCTGAGGCAGGACAGCCCCTGTGAGCAACAGTGTACGCTGTATGCATACATGCCAGAGGAAACAACTGTACTTGCGAAACAACTGTTAGCTGCCAGAGCACTGTAAACAGTGTTGCGTTTGTTTGGCTTTTGGTTTGGTTCTTTTAAATTGGGAAAATACCTAACAGCGTTTCTTAAAGTGAATACTTTACACAGATTTTTATTTAAAGTTAAATTACATAGCTTCAAGTGTGATCCAGAAAGGTAACTTCTTGTTCTAAACTTTTGTAGGTGTTGCATGTTTTCTTACAGTACTACTCCTGTAGCGTTATTAGCAGTAGCTTTAGTAATAGGTATATGGAAATGTAGCTGGTAGGAGTGGTCGAGCATCGGGAACAGTATTGCTTTTTGAGGTTGTGTGCAGACTTCGGTTGCTCTAACCCTGAAAGATGTTTTGATGTTAAAAGCTGCCTGACTCCCAACCACATTGCGGTTAAGTTTTTATGAAATCCAGATGATTTGGAAGCAGCGTGTGCATGCAGTTTACTTTAAAAATATATCACTTTTTGGGGGCTTTCGCATGTGACTTCTCAGCCATCTGTGGGCCAGCACACTACTTCCTGTTTAATTTGGAGGTTTTTTGTCTTTTGTACAAAAGGGCTCCTTTTTTTTCCTAGCAGTTTTCAAAGTTTAATAAAGCGTCTAAAGTAAATGGAAGTCAGAACAGCATAACTGATTACGTAAGAGCCTGAATATTGTATTGGTTATAGCTGGTGTTGATAAATGCTACACTGTGTCATAGCATCCAGCTCTGAGTTATCTTGATGGGTATCTTGGAAAATCCAGCAGACTAGAGCGGTGGTTGCTGTTGAGGGCTGAAAGAGAAGTGGAGAATTGTTTTTTTTCTTTCAAGGATCTGTAGTCCCGGAGATCAAAATGTGGTTTTCTGTTGTTGGAAGAACAGAATCCATGGTAAGTCTGTTCAGGTTTCTGTTGGGACTGTTTTTTCTCTGAACTTTTAAATACTATCCCTGTACTTTTTCCTGCTCTCTTGCTTGTTTAAACCTGCCAGTAGTTATTGGTTCGTGTAGCAACAATGTAATACAGCATGCAGTTAAATACAGTCAGACGTTAGTAGCTAACTTTCTAAAATCTAGAAAGAAAAAACCCTAACTTTTTAGCTTGTTCTTCATATGCACTTCTCAAATTAGTGGAAGTGACTATTAATATTGAAAGTTTCAGGTGTGATAACTACTGTGGCAGAGCATGAATAACACGACCTGTGATCTGTTTACTTGTTGTATTAGTTGGCTTTAATCCAGGTTCCTCTGAAAGTCTGTTTTCCCCTTATAAAGCCTTAGTAGAATAATTAAAATTAACATCCCAAACAGTATATGTAAGATTTGTAGTACTCTGTAGACCCTTCTGAAAAGATCAGAACATGCAATTACATTGCAGTTAGGATATCTGATGTTCAACACATTTCACAGGGTAGAGGCATTTAAATTCTAGAGTGCTATTGCACAAACGAAAGAATTCCCATGTTCTGCAAGAGTGATGGAGCAGGTTTTGTTGATTGATCTTTGCATGCTGGTTATAGTCATTAGAATGCTACAATTTAGTTCTTTAAAGTATGGCACACTTCTACTTCTTGCTCAGTCATCTTTTATTAGTATAACAGAAAAAGTTACCTTTAAATACAAACAAGCACCTTAAAAATACATAAGTATA